TTTGAACTGCTGACCTTCCAGTTTAAACTGACCTTGTGGTCCAGTGCATTATCCTGCAGTGTCGGTTAATTCATTTATTTAATAGTTTGAAGTTATTGAGGAGGATTTTAAAAAACCTGGCCAGGATGAATGTCCCATATTCTTATTAAATGCTATTTTGTTGTTGTTGTTAAGTGCCATCGAGTCGGTTCCGACCCATAGCAACCCTGTACAGGGTTTCTGAGGGTGTAAATCTTTACAGGAGTAGAAAGCTTCATCTTTCTCCCGCAGAGCGGCTGGTAGTTTCGAACTGCTGACCTTAAGGTTCGCAACAACTCCAGAAACCTTATAGAGAGTCACTGAGTCTGAATCGACTGATGACAGTGGCTAGGCTTTGACTTGGTTGAAGTCCAAAAAGATTTTTAAAGGAATCAGGTAGACTGGAGCAAAGATTATAAGAATGCATCTCAATGTATACACAATGAAAAGAGTCATGTGGCATTTACAGGACCAAACAAGTAATTTAAAGAGACATATTCTGTATAAATGTCCAGACACAAGATTTCAAGAGTCAAGAATTTAAAAGGATGCTGTTATAGTTGTGTGCTGCTCAGTTGCTGCAGACTCACAGCAGCCCCAGAGGACAGAGTAGAACTGTCCTATCCATAGGGTTTCCTAGATTGTAATCATTAAGGAATCACCAGGTGTTTTCTCCTACGGAGCCATTTTGGTGGATTCAAACCATGATAGGAACTATTGAAAGGGTCAAATTTCAAACAAAAAGAAAAGAAAAGAAAAGAAAAACACCTTACCAGGGTAGGCTATACATGATGTGTCGGAATCAACTCAAGGGCATTTAACAACAACAATAATGCAAAAAAAAAAAAAAAAACCCTCAATAGACGTAATAAAAAAAAAAAAAAAAAAAACCCTCAATAGACGTAATAGGTGATTTTTAAAGAAGACTAGGGAAGAGGGAACAAAAACAAATAAATCAGCTAAAGCAAAATTAAAATAAAACAGGGGTGTAGCAGCACTAAGAAAGATCCAAGTACAAAACTAATTACAGGGACAAAAATATCAAACAGCATGCAAAATAAAAATAGTAAATAAAATAGCACAAAATACTAAGCTTATTTAAGAAATATACCAATTATACCTAAAACACATAACTACAAAATTATATGACAGAGTTAACATGAAAAATAGAAAGAAGTTATAATAGGCAAAACAAAGCAAGAAGAGAATGGGGACTATCATTCTTGATATCATGATAAGTAGAAAGCAAGCTCAAACTCATTAAGTATGAAAAACAATACTCTTATTCTAAAAGTCACACTAACTACTGAGGACATAAATCTTATAAATATTTACAAAATACAGCAACGTTCTTTATGAAGCAAAAGTACTTAAGATGCAAGGAAATATAGACGGAAGCACATTAATAATAACAGAATTTAATGCACCACTTTCAATATAAAAGAGATCAAGTTGGGGAAAAGATTAAAAAGATAGAATAATGTAAATAAGGAGAAAGATATCCCCAAGAAAGGCAATCTTATAGATCAACTCACGCTTCTTAAGTGTCCCAGCATATCCACAAAAAATTAATCATCTATTAGAGCCCAAAGAAAACATCAGAAACTTTCCAAATTAAAATTATTTCTAAGAACATGCTTATCAAATGAAACAAAGTGTGATTTATCAAAAGGAGCTCTGGTAGCATAGTGGTTAGGAATCGGGCTGCTAACCTCAAGGTTAATAGTTTGAAACTACCAGCTATTTCACAGGAGAAAGATGACACTTTCTGCTCCGGTAAAGATTTGCAGCCTCAGAAAACCTGTACAGGGTCGCTATGAGTCAGAACCAACTCCACAGCACATAAAAACAATAATTTATCATAAACAGAAAATTCCTCTTAGGGGGGGAAATAAAAAGAGAAATCAATATTATATTAAGTAAAAAACACAAGGGAAAATACTATTAAATATAAATACATATTTAAAAGTTACAAAAAGCAAATTTTCAGACATAGCATAGTGGTTACGAATCAGGCTGCTAACCTCAGAGTCAGCAGTTCTAAACTACCAGCTGTTCCGTGGGAGAAAGATGAGACTTTCTGCTACCGTAAAGATTTACAGCCTCAGAAACCCTGTACAGGGTCACTATGAGTCGGAACCGACTCCACGGCACATAACAGCAACAACATGTAAATAATTCTGAAAACCTAGAAAAAACAATGAATTTCTACAGGAAAAATAATTATTAGTAAAACTGAACCAGTTACAGTCTGTATGCTTTAGGAAACCAACTCTCCTAGAAAAAAAATGAGAAATGTATCAAGTAACTATCCTATTAATGAAAAAAACCACAAAGCCAGGAGGATTTAACAGGAGAATTATATTAAACTTCAAAGATCAGACAGTCTGTAAATAACATATTTAAGAATATTGAAAAGATAAAGTAATCTCATATATGGATGGATTATAATTCAATATATAAACCAGATAAAAGATAAAAAACAAACAAACAAACAAACAAAAAAACTATGCAATGATTAAAATGTTGCATTGTTGTTGTTGAGGTTGTTAGGTTTCATCAAGTTGGTGTCTAACAGTGACCAATCTGTAATAAGAATGAAACACTGCTCAGTCCTGCATCATCCTCACAATTGTTACTTAAGCCAATTGCTGCTGCCACTGTGCCCATCCATCTAGTTGGGAATCTTCTTCTATTCATTGACCATCCAATTTACCAGACATAATTTCCTCCTCCAGGGACTTGTAACAAGTTCAAACATGAGAGATGAAATCTTGC